CGTGGAACAGACTAGAAAACAAAATAAAAGATATCGGAAACTCGATTCACAACTGGGAATATTCGGCACATAACAAACAAAGACACAGACCAAGATATAACACATGATTCAACTACAAAAAGAGGACACTCATTATAACAAACGAAAAAACATTCAATAGAGGAACCAGGAATGTAAGAAACCTTAGAGATAAAGAAAAGGAACTGACTCAGGAGTTTGAAAAAGCTAAACTGTAGATTTTGGGCATTTGTGGCACCAAGAAGAAAGATCAAAGACTGATCGAACTTGATGGAGGACACATACTAGTTAGTGTACAGCGGGGTCCCAGTGGACCAAAGGGTTCGAGAAGGAGTAGGCTGCGTTATCAGAGCAGAATATGCTAATTGACTGAAGAAATGGGACTGCATCTCGGAAAGAATTTTAAGGTTAGAAATCTAACTAAATGAATAAGACTCTACTACCACAATAATTACATACGGTCCTTTTGAAGATGAAAGAAGCGCAGTAAAAAACGAATACTGGGAAGATTGATCGAAAATTGTAGAGAATGTCAAAGGAAGACTTCTGATAATAGGAGATATGAACTGCTGAGTAGGAAAGAGGCCCTGTGATTCAGTAGAGGTAGTGGGGTTATACGAAGAAGGGCATAGAAATAATAATGATAGATTTCGGCATGGAGAACAACTTGACCATAACAAATACCTTCTACAAAAAGAAAGACATTCACATGTACACTCGAGAGGTAAAGAACAGAAATTAAAAATCAATAATCGAATATGTAACTTGTCAACAGACAATACAGGAAGGAAATTTTAGATGTAACTTCAAAGGAAGCCCCAGACCTTCAGCGACCATTATCTACTGTATCCAAAGATTAGGATTGAAACAAGCATACAAGCAAAGAGTCAATCAATACAGAAGCACACTAAATCGGGGGAAGTTATTAAATGTAGTAAAGTATATGCGGAGCTACCATAATTAACAGAAATAAAAAACAAACAAGATGGTGGAACGAGGAGATAAGAATCGCAGTTTAAGGTAAAAAAAAATGGCTAAATTACTTAACGAAAAAGAGAGAAGAAAGCTACAAAAAGTATAAAACACAAAGAACAAATATAAAGGAAAGGTCATTTTTGGTCTTTCATCCAGTCTAAGAAAGGCTCATCTAGAATACCAGGTAGGCTGACAATTGCTAATGAAGTCTTATATAATCCTAATCGGACTATTAGTGCATTCGCAGAGTATTTCCAAAGTATTTATGATATAGATAATAATTTATATCAACATCCCGTTGGTAATAATCAGCATGACTGTTTTCATCTGGGTAACTTCATATATGAGGATATTCTAAAGGTACTGTGTAAATTACCAAACAAGTTAACAGCGGGAGAAGCCATGGTACCGAGCTTTGTGGTCCGTGATGCGGCGCACATGTTTGTCACGACTTTAAAGAAAATTTTAAATTATTCCCTTAGTACAGCAACTTTTCCTACAAAATGGAAACTGGCTAGAGTGTGCCCTGTTTTTAAGGCTGCTGACCCAAGTAACATCGAAAATTACCGAGCTATATCTATATTGGATAATTTTGGTAAGGCAATTGAGATATCTGTATACAACTACATCTATCCTTTAACCTCGCATCTAATATCTGAGACGCAACATGGATTTATACACAATCGTTCTACTATTTAAAACTTAACTGAAATTGCCCAGGAAATTGCAGAGGTTTAGATAATAAGGGTCAGATGGATGTGGTCTTTACGGATTTCTCAAAGGCCTTCGATAAGATTAGTCACACCAAACAATCATATTTGAACTTCAGCACTTTGGTTTTAGCAATCATTTATTAGGTTTCGTTTCATTTTACTTGCATGATAGATCTCAGCACTTTTCTTACAATGGTTACAAATCTTCACCCTACTTGACCTCATCTAGTGTTCCGCAGGTATCAAATTTAGGCCCTCTTGTCTTTCTTTATTTTATTAATTACCTTCTCTGTTGTTTGCCGATGATTTAAAAATATATGCTCAGACTAGCAGCATTGATGACTGTCTAATCTTGCAAGCTGACCTCAATCATATATTTGAATGGTGTCCAACTAATAAACTATTTTTGAATGTTAGCAAATGCAAGACCTGTGTTTTTCTAGGAAAACGAATCCAATAGCTTTTGATTACACACTGGAAGGTGAAGTTTGATGCGTTGTTCAGAAGTAAGAGATCTAGTTGTGCTGTCTGATGCAAAATTATAATTTACAGATCATATTAGTACAACAGTATCACCCGAAACGGTTTTTTAATAAGAAACTGTAAATCATTTGGTAGTGAGACGACACTTAAGGCTCTATGCTGCACCTTGGTGCGGTCTAAGCTGGAATATGCATCCGTATTAACAAATCTATATTAATGAAATGACAAGTGTACAGAGGAGATTTCTTAAATACTTGACTTTCAAATCAGATGGTGATTATACCAATAGTGAGACTGCCCAATCCGCGGTGTTGCTAAGATTTGAAATGTATCCTCTTGAGCTGAGAAGAATTTGTAATAGTTTAAACTTAATTTACAAGCTCGTACACAGTGATGTTGATTCTTCAGCTTTATTAGCTAAAATTGATTTTCATGGACCGTCTCGCTTTACACTTAAAAATACCAAACTCTAATGTTATGATTAAGTTACCCGTGTAGTTTATGTGCTCCAGCTTTAACGCCATAACTGATAATTGTGACATTCATCAAGATAAAGTCAAAGTTATATTGGCTGTATTCAGCGAGTACTATTATTCCATTTATAAAATTTAAGACATGTAGTTGTAACTATTTTTTTTTCTTTCATTTTTTTCAGAAACTGGGCGAGCTATGATTGGTGAAAAATAATGTAACGTCAAATTGAATTCAATTACATCGTCCTACAAGTGGATGTCTCTGTTGGGCAATAAATAAATTATTGTTTCTGATTGTGTCTCGTTGAGTTATTCCTTTAAATTCTCTTAAAAATTTAATATCTACTGCCTGGATCTTGCTGTTTAATCTAATTGTTAGCCTCCAACTTTCGATACTATAAATTAATGTTGGCCCAAATACGGTTTTGTAAACAATCATCTTGGATTTCCTGCTAATTTTCTTGTTTGATACGTCTTTACTGCCTTATTGATTCTTTCATTGTGTTCAGCTCCCGTACTGCCTTCGCTTTATCATAACTCCAAGATATTTATAGACATTTACCTGTTCCAGTCCGTTGTTATTCATTTTGATTGTTATTTGTTTGACACTTTTTCCGATTACTATTACTTTAGATTTGGCTACATTAATTTTCAGATTTCTTATTTCTAATTCTGCGTTCCAAAGTTCTAGATTTGTTTGCAGGTCTTTTTCCCGTTCGGGACAGATCATAAGGTCATCGGCAAATGCACATTCAATTCCAGTTTGTAGTGACCAATGTTCATTTTTTTGAGTTTGTATTTTATTGTTTTCATGCTGTCGTCTACACGCCTCCCTGTGGTAAACATTTTATTTTAAAAGGCTTTGATACCATGTTTTCCTTTCTTACATCATTGATGTTATCCATAAAAAGTGTTTTAATTATTTTTTATTATTATTTTAGGTCATATATTTTTTTTTCAAACTGTCCCACACTACCTTCAGTAGTATTCTGTCGAAGGCCCTTTCCAGATCTAGAAAGGCCATCTATGCTTCGGTGTTCTTGGTTAGAGTCTTTTCGATCATTTGTCTAATCGTGCATACACGATCCTGTGTGCTTCTACCTTTCCTAAATCCTCACTGGGCTTCCTCCAAATCTGGTACTTCTTAGTATTTTCTCTAGTATGACTTCAAAGGCCTTGGTTGTGATACCAAGCAACGTGATTCCTCTATAGTTTCCACACTTTCTACAGTCTCCTCTTATGTATCGGTAACCCAATTCTCGTCCTCCAATCTTTCGGCGCCCTACCCTCATTCCATACTCGATTCAATATTTGTCAAACATTGGATTCCGAAATTGCCTAAGCTCTTCAGCATTTCTGCTTTCCATAATTTGGGTATATTCTGTAACTATCCTGTTATTACTTGTTCTGACTGGTTTCAAGCTATGCTCCTCATCGCTTTTCAGGCTTTGTAGAATAGTTTTTGATTTTTGTGTCTGTCTTGCATTACGATTTCCTTTACATTTGTTCTCTTTGTTTTCTACTTTTCATGACTTCCTCCAGAATTTTTAGCATTTTTTTTCATTTTATCTTTAATTGCGATTCTTATCTCCTCGTTCCTTCATCTTGTTTGTTTTTTATTTCTGTTAATTATGGTAGCTCCACATAGACTCCTGGCCGCATTTAGGCATATATGTTTAAGCATTTGCCAAGTTTCTTCAATGACCATATTTTTCTGTGACAGTTCGTCCATTTGTTTCTCAATTAGCTCTCGACATGCCTCTGCGATGTTCTAGTAATATGTAGGACTTAATAACTTTCCTCGATTTAGTGCGCTTCTGCATTGATTGACTCCTTTCTTGCGTGCTCGTTTTAATCCCAATCTTTGAAATCAGTAGATAATGGTCGCTGAAGATCTCGGGGCTTCTTTTGACCTATACATCTACAATTTCCTTCCTGTATTGTCTGTCTGTTAACAAGTATTTAATCGATTATTGATTCTTCATTTCTGCTCTTTACCTCTCGAGTGTACATGTGAATATCTTTATGCTTGTAGAAAGTATTTTTTATGGTCAAGATTTTCTCTATCAGCCTGTTGCCATTATTATTTCTATGCTCTTCTTCGTATAGCACCCTGTAGTGAATCGCAGGTCCTCTTTCCTACTCAGCTGTTCGTGACTCCTATTATCAGAAGTCTTCCTTTGACATTCTCTACAACTTCCGATAAATCTTCCCAGAATTAGTTTTTACTGCGCTTCTTTCACCTTCACAAGGTGATTATTATGGCAGTATAGTCGTCTTCACTTAGTTGGATTTCTAACCTTAAAATTATTTCCGAGATGCAGTCCCATTTCTTCAGTCAATTAGCATATTCTGCTCTGATAACGCAGCCTACTCCTTCTCGAACCCTTTGGTCCACTGGGGCACCGCTGTACACTAGTATGTGTCCTCCATCAAGTTCAATCATTCCTTGACCTTTCTTCTTGGTGTCACAAATGCCCAAAATACCTAGTTTAGCTTTTTCAAACTCCTGAGTCAGTTCCTTTTCTTTATCACTAAGGCTTCTTACATCCCAGGTTCCTGTATTGAATATTTTCCCGTTTGTTTTAATAAGTGTCCTTTTTTGTGTAGTTGAATTATGTGTTATATCTTGGTCTGTGTCTTTGTTTGTTATGTGCCGAATATTCCTAATTCCTAATTGCAGTGTCTTTGTCGTCTCCGGTCCGTCCGCATTTTGATTGTGTACTAGTTTTTTGAATTCTCTTGCTTAGAGTGTATCGGGTTTCCGATATCTTTTATTTTGTCTACTATTCTGTTCCACGAATGCTTTATGTCATTTATTATTGTGTACTGGTATCCCAGTCTTACGACATTTCCTTTGGCTTTTTCTATAGCAGTCCGTTCCCTAAGTGTTTTCCGGATACCTCTCTGTTTCGTTGTTAGGTCGGTACTTAATGAATACCTCTTCCCCTCTACATCGAACTTCTATATTTGAGAGATCTTTTACATTTAATAGTTTATTTTATTATAATAAACCTTCAACAGTTAAAGTGGAAGAAGTAATATCCCCCGTCACTGTTTTTCTGTTTTTTGTCTAAGCTACATATCTGATCCCAATCATTTACATTTTTTTCCTGAAGTAACTTCGCTTATAATTCTCACAGTATAATTTTCAATACTTTTTTGTCTCAAATGGGTCGGCACTTGCATCAGTTTTATCTGTATCTTGGTATTTTGAATCAATTTGTTTTGTTATTATTTTTCAATTACATAATTTCGACCCCCTCTGATCGGACAGCACCAGCCACCGGAACCCAACAAGGATTCTGAGATATATGTTAATACTCTCCTCAGAATGTGGGCTTATTCTAGCAGTGCAATCTTTTGCAGATCATAGATATCTGGCTTTCCTGGTATTTGATCCAAGTACGGATGTAACGCTGTTAATCTTTATATTTTGAGATCTTTTCTGTTTCCTTCATAGTAACATTCTGGTCGTCTGGGATAGCTATGTCCACTAGTATGCATGTTTTATCTGACTTATTATGAATGACGATGTTGGTACGGTTAGATGATATGGTGCGATCAGTTATAATTGAGTGACCCCAGAGTACTGTGCATTCGCTTGTGTTGATTACCGGAGGCGGGTTATGACTATACCATGTTCGAGGCACGTCAATCTGGAGTTCTTTACAAATTTTCCAATGGATATATGTAGCAACCCTGTTATGCTGATATAGATATTCAGTCGCTGCAAGAACTGTGCACCCTGTAAGGACGTGCTCTTTTGTGTTGCTCCTTCTACATCTGCTATCGACTGGTTTGCCCAGAATTTTGCGCTGGTGGTATCTTGTGTTTAGGGCTTGATCATGGGCAGCTATGAGCAGAGTTTTGGTTTCTGCCTTCTGAACTGTGCAGCCAAGATAGCGTGCTCTGTCTATCTATGTGAGGCTTTTCCACACTATTGAATCATGAAGTGGTTTGCACTTCATTGATTCAATTCTGTGCTCTTCAATGTTGTTTCTGAAAGCAACTTGTTCGCCCGTTGTTTCGACTTCGGATCGAGCTTGTTCCTCAGGGAGATACTTCGAACGGATTCCTTCAGATATTTTTAGCAAAGAGTATCTTGCCTTATTTGCTCCATGCTGTTTCACCAATTCCATCAAACGATCGGTGTTGTTTGAAATGTATTTGCTAAGTGACGATGGCAATATTACGTTATACGCAGATTCAATCTCAATTAATCCAAAACCACAGCATTATTATTATTATTATTATTATTATTATTATTACTATCATTATTATCATTATTACTATTATTATTATTATTAATGTTATTATTATTATTATTTTATACTATTTTACTCCTCTGTCGAAGGTATTAATATTTCCCTCAGGCTAACCGCCAAAGTAAGGAAATAGGTCTGCAGCGGTTTTTTTACCTCATCTCCTAAAACCCTGTGTACTGTCCTACATGTTCCCAGCAGCGCAGCTTTTCCAACTGCAAGTATATTTTTAGATGGAGCTGTAGCGTTTCCAGACTCTTGTGTAGTTTCCTTGGTATCTCTCCAGTAGCTCCTATGATAACTGGTATTACAGACACCTTGCCACATGCGTTTTATTTCATCGGAGAGTGGCAAATACTTATTAATCTTTTCCGCATGGGTGGTTTGGATATTAGTAGGAAGAGGCACAGCTATGTCTATTATAAACGTCGTTCTTTCTTCTTTTAGTGTGAGCACTATGTCAGGAATATTGTTGGGGATGGGCCTGTCAGTTATGATTCTACGGTTCCAGTACATCCTAGAGGCCTCCGTTTCTATCACAGGTGGCGGCGTGTAGTTAAAGTAGGGCTGTGAACCAGTTTCTCCTAGATGCTTTTTAGCCAGAGCTTGATAAATTATTTTGGCCACATCATGTGTGTCTTTTAAGATATTGTATAGGAGCTAAGGGAGAGCAGCCTGCTACAATATGATCTATGTGCTCATCTTTTTCCCCACATATGCGGCATCTGATATCTTCAACGTTCTGATGCATTATACGCTTTCGGTACAACTTTGTTGGGACTACCTGATCCTGGATGGAGGCTATGAAGCCCTCCGTCTCCAGGAACAGATTACCTGACTGCAACCATCCTTGGGAAGCCTTTGTGTCAATAGCGTTGTCTTCTATGCGGCTCCTATACCGACCATGTAGTGGTTTGGCTTTCCATTGGCAAACCAGATCCTGCATTGGGGTTATTTTTGCCTCAGGGTTGAAGGATGTTACTGGAAGGTTTAGTGGTGTCAACTTTTTATCCGTCTGTGTTATTGGTTAGTGCATTCTGCTGGATGTGGCTTTTTGGAGGAAGTACTGGCGTAGATTGTCCAGGTGGCGGTGATGTAGTGTAGGTATGCAAGGTATTCCTTCGCCACCCTCACTTCGTGGTAGATGGAACCGCTCTATGGAACTATGTGGGTGGTGTCCCCGGTGTTTACGGAATTCTTTTCTGGTTTCCACATTAAGTGCGTTGAGTTCTGTATCTGACCAGTTCAGTTTGCCAAACGTGTAGGTAAGGATTATTATTTATTATTATTATTGTTATTATTACTATTATTATTATTATTACTATTATTATTATTATTATATTATTATTATTATTATTATTCCGTTTTCTGTTATCTATTCCCTGCTACTGCAGGTGATATCCTCAAACGCGGCATTATACTGTAACCGTCTGAGTGTGACTATTGGTTTCTCCTTGTCTATGTGGCTACCTTCAGGACCTTGCGTGCTATATGACAACTACTTAAGGCCCGTATCGTCAGTCGTCCCTTCAATTGCAGGGCGCCGTTATGGCCTCCTTGATTTCGATAATATTATAGTACGTCTTCTTCGGTGACGGACATGTATGTCCTGCTTTACCTTTCTAGTCTGCTGTCAATTAGAAGTCAATTGTGATGAACCTATTGTACTTCCGTGGGTATACAATGTAGAATAAAAAATATGTATTTTACCATATATTATTTTATTTATATTCTGCAAGTACCACTGGAAAATACGATACATGAAATTGTTAAGGAATTCATAGATAGTATGTCAAAATACATAAGTATCAGTAATCAAATAAAGTCTTTATATCTAAAAGGTACAAATAATAACAGGAAATATAAACAAATATATAGCCAAAAAACATACCCAAAACATGAAACTACAATAACCTTTAATAACTTCAAATTTACTTACATAAAATATAAGGTGTTTTCCAAATAAATGTCAATATTTGAGAGGGTGACTTTTGGTTCCATTTTAAGAAGAAAACTTCATATAATTGTATGTCCTAAACGTCTTGACTTTTGAAAAACAGGGTGGTAAGCTTTTTAAAAACCAATCATTTTTTTGTTACGATCTGTAATATCACTTTAAATATACTAAGTGCCATATAAATCCGAACACCCAGTTTAAATGGTTTTATTTTAATAAACGTTGGTGAATGTATTTATCTTACTGTAAATAACAAGTGAAAAAATTTTCAGCCTTATCAGTTGGACATTCCGGTTTTTATACTGCTTTTCTTTAGTTCACTAACGCTCTAAAAATGAATATTTCAGCCGCAGTAAAGAATCAACGTTGGCTGATTTTGGTTCTTGACATCCTTTACGATCGGTTACGATGCCTAGAGTACGGAGACCTGTACGATTTCGTCAACTTAGTGAGTTTGATAGGGGCCGTATAGTGGGACATAGGGAAGCTGGACTTTCTTTTCGGGCAATTGCAGTTAGAGTGCAAAGAAGTGTAGACACTGTGGTTAGGTGTTGTCAGGCATGGCTTCGAGAAGGCCGTACGCAAGGGGCACTGGACGCCGCCGTAGAACAACAGACCGTGAAGATCGCCGCCTAAGATTATTGGCCTTAAGGGACCGTTTCTCCACTACCAGGTCTATTGCAAATGAATGTTTGCAGAACACGGAAGACCTATTGGCATGCGAAGTGTTTACCGACGAATGAGAAGTTTTGGCTTGTTTTCATACCGACCACACTGGGTCCTCCCTTTAACTCGAGAACACCGACGTAATCGCCTTGAGTGGTGCAGACAACGGTCACTCTGGGATCAGGAATGGAACAGTATTGTGTTTAGTGACGAGTCTCGATTTTGTTTAGGCATGCACGATGGTCGTGCCAGGGTTAGAAGGCGACGTGGTGAAAGGTGGAATCCACAGTTTTTTGTTGAAAGACATGTTCATCACACTGTTGGAGTTATGGTTTGGGGTGCTATAGCTTATGGTTCCAGGTCACCTTTAATCTTCATCAGAGCTAACACGAACGCGCAGCGTTATATCCACGAATCTAGAACCCCTTCTTTTACCCTGTCTTGACACCCTGGCAGATACAACTTTCCAACAAGATAATGCCCGACCACATGTTGCAAGAGTCACAATAGACTTCTTTCAACATAATGATGTCACATTGTTACCATGGCCACCAAGATCTCCCGACTTATCCCCAATTGAGCACGTGTGGGATATGATGGGTAGGAGATTGCTCAATTTGCAACGTCCTCCTCAGACTCTAGAAGCACTTCGAGAGGAGTTGGTGGTTGCCTGGAATGAGATACCACAGGAGGACACTGACCACCTGATCAGAAGCATGCCTAGGCGCGTTGGAGAATGCGTAGCACATCAGGGTGCATCCACACATTATTAAAGGTCAAAGGACTTTAAAGCAGTGCAATCATTTTGAAATTTTTATCATTTACTTACTATGCTTCATTAAGTACTTATACAAAATTTTATTGAAATAAAACCATTTAAACTGGGTGTTCGGATTTATATGTCACTTAGTATACTTTATAAAAATTCTGGATATATGTACTATCAAGAGGTATTTTTAATTTACGAATTTTCTTTTTATTTCCACCAGCGACGTTCGTAACGATTTCACTTGCTTATTTTGACAGGCAATGATAGTACTCAACTGATTTCTAGGCAAATTTAATTGCTTAATTTTTGTTCACTCCGATGCACCGTATTCGCTTACAAAAATAAAATAACGTTTCTTTGCATGATCCTAATATCGTTAGTACGACAATGTCACTATGTCGCGAAATAGATTGTATTTTTCGGGTGAAAACCGTGCGCCAGACTAAAAGAATTCAATTTTTCATGTCGGACCCACTATTTCCACCCAAAAATTATCTGCGTGGTCATATTGTCATGTTAACATTAGTGTTATGATCGTATTTATAAAAACCGTGCATGAGATTGAAAAAAAATCATTTCAAATCGATGTTGGCTTCGAAGTGATTGAAAATTTTAATAAGAGAGAAATAAACAGCATACAATAACTGTCTATCAACACAGGCAGGTAAAATTAAAAAAAATACCTCTTGACACGTTTACGTGTATGCCAAATATCATTAAGTGGTAATACGGATATTCGTAATCAAAGATTTATTTTTTTGACCTTGTTTACCACCCTGTGTTTCAAAAGTTAAAACTTGTAGGACATACGATCATTTGTGGTTTTCATCTTAAAATGGACCTGAAACCACCCCCCTAGATATGGACATTAAATTAGGAAAGAAACTAAATTGCAGCTACCAATACTTCAAGAGATAAATGTTGACTTTCGAGCCAAAGATTTCAATTTTTTTTTACTGTGGCTATAATAACTAGCAAAATCTGCCCTTCATATGAGTGTATCAAATATCAAACCTGTTCAGTTTTTGATATTTCCTAAATGTTTTTTTTCCTATGCCACAGTTTTAATAGATTTTCTCTTTTATTTTAAGATTACAAGTCAATGAACAAATTGGAAAAGAAACTGTATTTAGCTGTCCTCACTTTTTCTTCATATACCACATTCTACAACATTAATATATGGTGCAACACATTTGATAATACAACATATTGTTCTTTGAGGCTCAGTGCATTGGTCTCTTTGTTCTTGATGATGCCACTGAAATATGCTTAGTAACTGAAGGCTCCATTATTGATAGCGATTTAAATCCAAAATTGATACCCAGCAGTTTAAATACAAATTAAATTCTGTACCTTAGAGGCAGGTTAGGTTAAGTCCATTTTTGCCTAAAATGAGTCTTACATGTTAAGCTCATGATAAAGTTGGGAGTTTTAGTTTGATACTTGCAACATCTATCTACCCGTAATGATGAGTGAATTATGAATGCAATGAAACTATCTTAAAACTACCTATTAGGGCTTAACCCAGTCTGACTTAGAGGTATCTACAATTTTCAACATAATGGGTCTTTTCCGCTTATCTAGTTGTTTGAATTGTTTGGAGTTTGTTTAACAGGAAAGTAATTCCCTTGCTGAGCCACAATTTTCTATTATTTACCCATTCGTAATTAATTATGGAATTGTCATAAAGCTTTTCTGATATTGCTTCATGCTGCAACTCTATTCTTCTGTTTACTCTCTGTAAGACTTCATTTTTTGTAATCCTACATGACCATGGCATTTTGAGCACCCTGAAATAGCGATGGTCAATAATAGTAATTATGATCTTCACATACACACATTATACGTACTTGTGCCTGACACTCTACACAATCTAGAGTCCCACAATGATTTGTGAAAAAGCATCTCTGACATCGACAATGCAATAATTGCACTTGCCATACAATGTTTCTTATCCATGGAGGAACCATCTCATAAAGTCTGTGAGAATGAATCACACCTGAAAATATGCGATAAGTACAATATAATATGGATATGCAATGATTTGTTTTGTAACTTACCAACCTTCATCAAGAGAATAGCTTGGTGGTAAGCTTCTGGACTTTCATACACATAAATATAATATTATAATATAATAAATCCATGTGCATTAATTTTCCTAACTCAACAATCTCTTGAAGATACCACAGGTTGTGGAATTTGTTCAATGTAGCGAGGTATTTTTGAGTGATCGAGATTATTTGCAAGAAAATTATAAATTATGGTTCTGCTTTTCGTTGAACGTCAAAACGACAACATAACCTCAAGCCAGAACTGTCAGTATGTCGGAAATCAAAAGCAGGACATACATGTACGTTAACGAAGAAGACGTTACATTACCGAAATCAAGGAGGCCATGAACGCGCCCTACAATTGTAGGGACGACTGACGATACGGGCCTAAGATGGGAGCTTTTGTGAGAGGTATAATTTCTGCGGCAGATTTAGTTTCTCAATGTATTTATGTAGACTGTTAGGTATTTCTCCTGTGGCTCTGATCACTATTGGCATGACTTCAACTTTTTCTTGATTCCACAGTGTTTTTACTTCT